CACCTTCTGTTTTGGAAACTTTTTTTTCCCTCTTCAATGGAGCGGTGGCGGGAACAGCAAAAGCGAAACAATTTTTTGATTTGTGTGGCCAAATTTGAATTTCGCAGACTTTGAAATTGCAAATTTGCACTGTCTAGTTCTTTTCTTTCTCTTCTTTAGGATACAAATGGAAATGTGACAAATATTTTTTTCTACTGAAATATATAAAAGCAGCTTCATTTATTATGACATAAATAAATTTAATTTCTGACATTAAAAAAAGAGAAACGGATATGAAACTCTTTCTAATGTTATTATTTAAATTTATTTCAAATAACTTTTTCCATCATTTTAATGTAATGATTAAGCATTAATTTTTAATTAGTCTCTCGGACGTTTTTTTCACTTTTAGGGTTGTTTTACATAATAAAAAAATACAATAAATCTTCTTAATTTTAATAAAATAGCTGAATATTTTATTTTACTATTTTTCTTTTCATTTAACACAAGAAATAAATATATTTTGAAATTATTTAAAGATTAGAAAATGTATAAGGGTATTAATCAATGTGATTTTGAACTATGTAAATAATAAATAAATAAAATTTCTCCAGAAATTTAGCAGTTACTAATTTCTAATCCCAAATTACTAATTTCTCTGCAACTCAAACCCTAACTTCTGATTTACCCTCTCACAGCCACGAATCACCCTCTCACTGCCACGTATTACCCACACAAAGCCACGTAGCTAACTTCAGTCCACCCTGTCAGCTGCTCCGTTAAAAACTTAACGCCGTTTCCAAAAAGGACTTGATTGCACACTTTTTTACAAAAGATGGGATCACATTGAACTTCTAAAAAAAGGTGGGACCACATTGAACATTGGCCCCCTTTCTAGGGACCAAAGAGGTATTAAACCAAAAATTAATCGTATGATTAACTTTTGAGAGAATACTAATTGTAACAACCTATATCACGATAATATACATATGTTCCGTTATATTATTATTCGACAAAGGTGTTATAAAACTAACAATATTTCCAAAAATATATATAATACATTTATATTTATCCAAAATTTAGACCAAGAATTCTATAAATTCCATGAAGTTTAACGCACATTTTACATAAGTTTACATTTTTCAAACGTTTTAATTTTAATCCAAGGGACCTTTCAAGACTTAAAATTCAGTTTGAGAACATAATAGAGCATATAAGTAATCAATTATCTTTAAAACTTTTAAAAGGAGAATCGAAATAGCATTTACTTTATAAATTGCATCAGTTATGAATTCAATTTTACTAATTCAACCAAAATTATATTATAAATAAATTACAACTCAATATTCATCAATAATATTCAAAATTCTTAATATAAAATTTTAATACTTCTAAATTTTGTAAATCTACTCTAAAGATATTACATCTACAAACTAAATAGGTCATCACTATACTCAATATAGTAAAGACTCAACTATTCAATTTTAATATCTCAATTCCTAAAAAAAGTCTTATTTTTTGAAATTTCTATTACTTTGAATTATTTTTAGTTTTTATCATTTCATTCACACTCTCCAACGAAAATATAATTAGAATAAAAAAATTATAAATAATGACAAGAAAAAGAGTTTATAAGAAGATAAAATTTAGATATGAATAGTTAATCATTTTTATACTCAAAATAACTTAAATTTTATTATATTTTAAAGTAATAATTATCAAACTATTAAATTATCTCATATAACCAATAATGTCTTTTTTATTAATTACTAATTATAAATAATGTTATTATCTTTTGTTTCTACGAGGCTCAAAAGGCATATTCAAGAGTGCAGTTTTATAAAACTTCTTAAACCTCTTTGTAACAAAGCACCTAAATTCACACTTATTTTTTTGTCATATTCACACAATATAACTAAATTTGGATAGTTTGGTATGTTGAATATTATTTATAATTTTGTTGTTATTTACTATGTTATTATTATTCTTATTATTTTAATAAGAGCTCTTGTTATTTTAATAAGAGCTCTTGTTATTTTAATAAGAGCTCTTGTTATTTTAATAAGAGCATAGGCCCACGACTCATATGCTACTCCTATAAATACAACTAGTATCCCCTAAAGATACTCATTTCATAATTACTCTCACTTCCACTCTAGATCATAACTTAAACATCGAAGAGTCTTTATAGGTGGATCTTCCTCTCTCAACAAACAAGGAGTAATTTCCCTATCAAAGGATCAACCAAATCAAATTTGGATCTCATTACTTGTCCCAAAGGCCACTCTCAAGATTTGGTAAGAAAATTAACACTCACCATGAGGCCTAGTAAAACGTTTCCCCGTCCTCACCTTTCAATGGTCACTACCAAAAGTTTTGTGAACTCTCCTAAGACATAGAAGTCAACCAGGTAACCACCCTTTCCCAACAGATGTAAATGCTCATACAACAACAAGATGAACAAATATAGGCAACATGATGCCAAACTTGAGGCCATATGCGTCCAACAGCAGGCCGATCTGCAACAGAGGATGATCGGCCTCGGGAATGACATAATATTCCAAAGACCTCGTCTGAATCAACAAAGGGAAAGCCACTAGAATTCCTACACTAGGAATAGCCTGTCACCACAATAGAATTCACATGGGAATCAAGATCACTCCCCTCTCGTGGAATTCCAAGCAGAACAATTGATCCTCGAGCATAAGGAATGTAAAAATGTCCTTGTCACCCTAACTCACATTAGGTTTATAAACACCAGAGTAGGTGAACCTGGCATCACCACAAGGATTCCTTAAGACTCGAACAAGAACATGGCTTACAAAGATACTATGATCGATATGTAAAGTCTGTGGAATCCCAAGACTCCACAAGTTATCCTGGCAAGAGACCAACTTGGCAAGAGACCAACCTGGCAAGAATGTAAAACTGCTAAAGAACGCACAACAAACTATAACCCTAGGGTCGACCACGCTATGAAGTTTCACCATTTCACGCCCGAAGTGGCATAGGCCTGAATCCCTAGAGGAGTTGTTGTGAACATCTAGAAATATGATTGAATAGTCGATCCGTCTTTTACCTTTTGAACAATTGTTGTGTTTAAAGAAAGGCAAGGTTTGAATTATTGTGATGTATAACGTTAACAAAATTGAGGTTTTTGTTTCCGCGATGTTATATTATGAAAAAAAAAATTGACAAATTTGTATACTTTATTATTTAACACATGACATTCGTGTTACATTAAGTGTTTAACACATTTTTTTCTACATGTTTTTGGAATATTACTTGAGATCTTAAGGCTTTGCCAAAAACATTGTCTCGACATTTTGATATTCTTATCTGTTTGAGAGTTTAACTGATTGTTGTTTGGTACAATATAGTTTTTGTGTTTAACATGACTCTCATAGACGCTTTGATTCGGGAATCGTTTGGTGTTGCGTCTCGTTTAATTCTAAGTATTTTTCTAAAGCTTTTCCTATGTTAGTAGATGATTAGGGATTTTGAGCCTACTAACACTTATGTTCCTGTCATTATATTCTAGTTATAGCATCTTCAACTTCTCGTTTAATGTTATTTTGTTAAATTTTAAAACATATGAGAGAGTTTAGTAGACATATAAGTCTTATACACGATTTTTTCTTAATATTAGACAATTCAGTCTTATAGACAATCTTGTCTTAACACCCCCTCCTAGTGTTTTTCTTGTAATTTCATATTCATATTGGACCAAGCTCGACCCTTTGGCATAGGACAATTTGACTCAACTTATGGTCCGACCTGACTCAATTCAACCGGGTCAGCTCAACTCGACCTTTAACTTGAGTCAAATATTTAAAAATTAATTAAAATTTTGTAATTGAGCCAAAGTTACTTTGATTTGACCGTAACTAGCTTGAAGAAATTAGAGAGTTTGGACTACTTAAAACCTTTGTGTAATGGACTAATTAAATAAAAACATACCTAAAAAAACTTACCTTATCCATGAGTCACAAGTCAAATTGATGTCTCTAGTTATAAGAGGAGATAATAAATTGCATCATTAACATAAACTTGAAAATAATATAAGTTAATTATCTCCTAAGCTAGGAGTTTTATATAATATATAGAAATATATTTTTCATGACAATCTTTTTTATAACAATAAACCATTTTATGAACAATTATCTCAATAAATGAGAAAGAAAAAGACTGTCTAAGTGTGGACGTGTAAAGTAATTACTGTCGTAATGAATTGATTGAACGAAAACTACAACATTATGAAGAACAATTGCAATAATTAATTCAATGATAGCTAAAATTTTCTTTGGGGTTCAAAAGGGAGGAGTTAAACTGTGGTATCAGGAGATTTACAAGTACTCTGTTTATTATGAAAAACTAAGTTTTAGCCTTTTCTTTGCACTGTTACAAATTGATAACTGTTGATGAAAAACACAATCTACCTAAAACATTTTGAGAATATAGCAGTGGCTGTTATATAAGGGGAAACATATGGAGGACAATCCCATTCCTCAGTGTTAGGATTCTGAGTGAAAGTTTGCTCCCACGTTAAATAAGTATGAGTATAAAGAATACTATATAAAAAGGCAAATTTATATATTTATTATTTTTAAAGTTTTTCGTTAAAACTGATATTTTGACTTTTTTTTTATAAAAAATGCTTATGACTTATTGAATTTACTCGACGAATATGGATCAAACACAGGATTTGAAGTATGTGTCGTTATAATAAAAATGGCACTACAAATAGGTTTCTTTACGTTCTTTGTTTTAGGTTTCTAATAGGAGACTTTGGAATATTACATTTTCTTAGCCAGAGGACATAAGAAAAATATTATTTGAAATATCTAAATTTTTAGATTTATTTGATATTATTCTTATTTTTTATTTTTAAAAAAATAAAAAAATTTACATTTTTATAATCATTTTATTATTATACTCTATATTAAATAAATGTAAAAAAGTGTCAATACTATTACACATTATGAAAATAGAGACAACAAGTGAGAGGTGGCCAAACAAACTAAACTAAAATAAGCTCTGTATAACTCTCGGGAAATCATAAAAGCTCATTTACAATAAAAGGGACCAAACTATAGCATATCTTAACCTCTCTAAGTAAGGAGAGTGCAGTTTTTCTCACATTGGAGGTAAACGAACTTTGTATTTTAAGCATCTATCAGATATTAAGCCGTGGACTTAGCATATACAACTTTACTTTGTAACCCTATAATATTCTTATACAACTATCTAAGTGATAAGTGCCTCTCTTGTACTTCCCACTTTTTTACTTCCTTTTTTACAATGTGTATGTTTTTGTAGGGCTATTGGCAGTACCTTCCCAAAAGGTGAATCTGGTTCGAAAACCTTATGAGTAGATGACATGTTGCATCAGCCAAATATCAACACATATTCCAGGGCATCAATGCCTGCTGCATTGATAGATGCCAGTGCATTTGGTGGGGGCTCCATGAACAACAGGAATGAGCTTAGAGCAACGATGAATATGGTGAATATGAATAGTGATTTGCAAAAATCACCTTGTTTTCTAACAAGTTTAAGTCCTTCTTCTTGACTGGTTCCAGATGATGTATCATTCAACTGAAATGTTGGAATAGTTAAAAAGCCATATGCCATACCTGAGAAGGCTGCTCCAAAGTGTGACCTACAAATCAGCCACCCACCAAATAAAGGTTACTAGTAACTCACAAGTTCACTCAGAAAATGTCTACCACATAAACAAATCAGAAAAGGGAAAACCACAATTGCTGAAAATGATAGAAGTTAAAACTAAGGAAGAACAATAAGCACACAAAATTTAACGTGGTTCGATCAAAGTATTAACGAACTCCAATCAGAAGAAATTACTATATCAAAGCTTATAACTTAGAAGTTTCTCTCTAAGCAAACTCTCACTCAAAAGTACAAATCAATCCTTAGTTTCTACTGAACCACAAGGGACCTATTTATACAGTTATAACTAACATACATGAGATACGCTTATACTCATTTGGAAGTCACCTGAGCAATGCTTCATAAAAAACAGAACTGGGTAGACACTAGAAGATCTCATCAGATGATTCTAACATATTCCACATGTCTTAGTAGACGCTATAAGACTAATCATGTACTTGTATACCGCATATAATTACAGAATTGTCTAAGACATGTCAGACGTTCTAGAAACCTTTTAAACAAGATTTTACTTAAATAATTCTTCACTACAATTTAACACGTAAACCAAGTTTTTCGATTTATGAGAAAAAGTAAATAGAACTCAGTTGTGTATAAGTGAAGATTGTACAATAACTTCTCCTATATATCAAGCTTAATCATTTCATATTGCTCTCATGTTCTGAGATTCAAATCATTTACATGCATGGAACTTTCTTTTGATGTTAAATTGTTTTCATGTTCTTATTGAGTTTGATGACTGAACTACTTTCTCTGAATAACAATATATGACATACCATTCGTCAATTGGACCAAAGTGGCTTAATATGAACATAAGAGCTGTAATAATGATTGCCTTCTGGAACAGGTTCTCTGAAGTATCACTTGCAATTACATCTTTGTTTTGAATTTGATACATAAGCCAAGCACCAATTATTGCAAACACAGGACCCTGAGTACAAGTTGAAGTTGGTGAGAGAGTTAAAGACAATAATCAAAGGAGATCAAACAGAATGAAAAGTAAAAAAGTTCAGCCAACTTCACTAATCAATATAGAAGATTTACAAATGGTTTGACATTATATGTACTTAATTTAACTAAATTATTCTCACTTGATTTCCATCAAACCCTTAGAACATGTGTTAGGTTTCTAGATAGAGGAAACCAGGAAAACAAATGCAAACACCTAAACTCACTTAATCGATCTCGTATTATTGATTCTAGGAAACAAGTACAACATGAATACATCCAAGGGACAATATTCCGTTCACACAGGATGTCAATGATCCTGTCAACAATTCTCCAAACATCTGAAAACTCCCCCGCATACAAAGATCCCCAACTATGTATAGAAAGTCTCACTCATCCTAACAACCTGACCAACAACTACTGTTTAATGTCTCCTCCTAACATACACATTACATATCCCATCAACATGTGCAACTACAAAGCCATTACAACTGAGATTTGGAAGTGAGCAAATTCATGTAGCATCCTTGTTGACCAACCACTAAATCCCACTTGGTTTTATACTTTACATCAACAATAATTCTCTAGAATTCATATTAATTGAAAATTATGAATTGTAGGGTAGTCATTAGAAAAAGTATTCAATCAAAAGGACCATAGTCTAGAACTGTAAAGTGGTACTTACAGTTCCACCAACAGTGGGATCTGATGTATGTAGAAAACTTGTGAAGTTGCAAGCAATTCCACCCAATATATATATCAAGAAAAACGTGAATGAACCATAACCTTTGCAAACTTGAGGCCCAAATGTTACAAGGGCCCAACAACTGAGAGCCATGTGAAATATTCCTGCATGCTGCATATACAAATTTTCTAAGATGCATGCATGAAAAGCATAGTTTCAGTGAGATTAATTTAGCATGTGGTATTAAATAAGTCTCTTACACAATAGACAGAAGAGACTTTTTCACTTTTTGTTTTGTTAAGTGTTTCTAGATATCAAGATTATGTGTTTGATGCATGATGTTACAATAGTTTTAAGCAATGAGTTCCATTGTTTTCACGTAGGAATTCTAGACTTTAATGGCTGTATTTTAAAGTTGTTGGTTAGGAAGCTAAATTATCAAAATAAAGCCAAATCCAAAGTAAATCAAGTGTAAGATAACAAAAGGTTAAAGTTTTGGGATTCACACGAAAGCACAATAACAAAAGGTTAAAGCTAAATTATCAAAATAAATCCAAATCCAAAGTAAATCAAGTGTAAGATAACAAAAGTTAAAGTTTTGGGATTTAGAGGAAAACACAATACCAATAAGAGATTAGCCTAATTTGCATAAGAAATTGACACTTCCTCCAACCTAAAACTTTTCATATATGGTGTTCAACTTTCTCATCTTTACTCAATGTGAGACTTCACTAACATTTGGATTTCTAATGAATTCTTAGTCTCAACAAGTTTCAAAAAAGTTTTAGTTTTTCAAAATTCATTTTGATAAATTTGGTCCATATAAATTTAGTGACAACATGACATGCAATCTAAATACATGTCTTGTCACATGTGAGAGTAGTTGTTAATTTGACTTTTCTGGATCCCTGTTTCCAAAATAACCATTTTGTAAGAATTAATTACATTTAATTAAAAGGTTTAAATTTAACATCATAAATAAAGCCATGTGGTTTTGCAAAATGATGACGAGTGTCATGTAATATATCTACAGAATGGAAACACGGACCCAATTCTCAATCTTGTACCAGAAACATTGGTGTTATAAGCCTCCACCATTCTCCAACCATGATCAAATGGTTTATCTTTGCTCCATAAAGTAGTGGAATCGAAAACATCTCTACATCAGAAGTCCTTACAGGACTTGCTATTTCAAATAGAAACACTGCAATGTTTACAGAAACCAATATGCCACTGCACCCAGATGAAGGATTAAAGAAAGTTACTTATAATATCACAAATAATTAATGTGAAGAAAGTTAGTATGATAGCTTAAAGAATAGCCAATGAAAGAATAAAACAAGAACTTTGTCAGAGCAGAACTTACATTAGGTAGAGACTAGAGATTTCAAAATGCTGTAATGAATCTGTAGCAGACCTTGGACCATGTACTTCTTTTATTCTTCTTATTCCCACAAAAGCATTTTGTTTCCTGAAGTGTGATCTTTCAATGTCTCTGCTCACAGATTGTTTTGGTGCTAAATTTTCTTCACTACTATTCTCAACATAATATGGCATGCGAGATTCTTGGTTGGCTCCTGCATATCAAAATACTAACTCATTCATCTTTCAAACAAACTTGTTCTTTTCTCAGTTAGAACAATGTTTAAGTGGTTGAGATTGAGAAGACCAAGCCAGCTAGAAGAAGAGAATGACCATCAAGGTGAGAGTATACAGTGTTAAGAAGTGAATTTTAAGTCTAATTCACCTTACATGTTTACAAAACCATGTAAGGTGAGGTTTGCACCTACTTGTATTATAAATTGGTCCGACATGGGATGGCCAAGTTTATGCATGGACAATGTAAGGTGTTTTTATATTATCATCCAATCAGAACCTGCTATGCACTGAAAGTTTGCTGACTTTTATAATCACTCTTAGAAATTACATCAATCATGATTTCTGATTAGTTACTAGTGTAAAACATTCTACACCAGTGGTGCATAAAAATTATACTCTAAATAAAAGACACCAAAACACCAGAAATAATTACACTTTACCATGATTTATTTTTCCAAGATACTCATCAAGAGACTCTATTGCAGTTTCTGATCTAGTTTGGCACTCTGTTCGATGCTCCTGTATCACCTTGTGTGATGAATCAAATGTACGCAATTTTGCAATATCTTGGAGTTTTCCAAAATAAGAATCTAATGACCTTAGTTGCTTCTCAGTTGAGCTAGAACCTGCCGAACACCAAACTCTAGAAAGATTTTCTTTCTTGGAATAACATCCCGGAAGGAGGCTGAGGTGATTGTCTGAAACCCAAAGTCTTGTCACATTCTTATGCATAGAACCTTTGTCATGAAGTGTGCACCTAGGTACATTCCTCTCTGCTGTGTTTGATTTTGTGAGGGCACTGTTGACTTTGTTCCATGGTTGGCAACTCCTGCACATTTGACCAGGAATTGAAAAGATGGACCTCTTCATATTATTACAGTCATATATGATCCTTTTCTCACTCTGCCTGATTGCATTTTGAGCTGGTAAATTTTTGTCCTTGCAGGGCATTTTGTAAAACATAGGAAATGCTGCCATGAAAACCTACAAAAGAAAGAAAAGGATAATCAACATACAAAGGAAAAAAGCAAGTGAAAACAAAGAATCACTAAGTAAATAGTGTATTTCAAGGATTTGTACACTCATCTAATCACTATGCATGACATATTTGTTAACTTCTGCAACATATTAAGGAGATTTGAAATTGATGAGTTATGAGACAACTCATATAAACCGTAAATGTTAAAGTTAATAAATTTGTGACTTTCTTTCTTATATATTGTTCAACTTTCTTAATCTTAATCCATTCACCTGAAATCCTAACAACTTTAGCTTAATCAAGCAACAGTGAGTGTGGGAAATAGCATGAAATGAAATCCACTTTATTGGGTCTGCAATCAAATAAGAAAACTAGAGAGAAAAAGATAATTTTATTTCAGACTACAAAAAAACGGTGGATGAGGACAACAACCTATTCACCTTTGAACCACAAACACCTTTGTTAGACTATCAACACTGGTTACATACACTCAGATATCTACAGTAATATCATAACAGAAAATTGTAAACATATTTTCATTCACTCATTTCTGCATTAATATATCAAACCATGCACAAAAATCACCTTATGCAGTCAAAGATATCAGTAGTTTCTTTTTCCAGCAAACAGAAAAACATTAATCCCTTGAAGGCCTTGTTTTTACAGTTAGAGTACTGATTAACGAATTGAAATGATGAAGAAAGAAAGAAAGAAAGAAAGAAAGAAAGGCCTGATAACATGAACAGGTACATGTTAAAATTACCAAAGTACAATAAGAATGGTCATAGAATCAAGAAACTGAAATGCAAAAGATGAAGGGTTGGACTTGGTTCTACCTGTTAAGGTACAACAATGCAGAAAATTTGTTTAGTTATCAGTCATATCTTAGCTTCTTGAGAATTGGAAGAGAAACGAAGTGAAAGTTTTTAATTGGTATCAATTCCATTAATGACATATGGTAATGGCTTCATGGTGTTTGTAAAATTGCACAGACAAGGATCTAAAATGACAGCTAATTCTGTTTCAATGTACCTTATCTTTGTTCAGCCATTCATGGTTTGGAACAAGAGATACGCAATGTTTGTTAGCCAATAAATGCAGAGGATTTTGGCGGACCCACTTGCCACTTTGGTTAATCTCCCACGTTGCATGCTTAACCACCTTAAACTTCCTTCTGATTTTCCTTCCAAATCAATAGGGAAAATGTATGGCCTACAACTTCTTATTGAGGAAATGAATTGTGATGCAGAAGAATGAAACCAAAATATCTAAAAGGGCCCAGTTTATGATCACACCAGATGACTTATTTTTGAAAAAAAAAGATTCATATAAAACGGGATGAGTTTGTTTATGTATATCTAACTTTCTTAATAAAATAAGCTAATCTTAATTATTTTTATGTCTTTATTATTGTAACTATTTTCGCAACATAAGTAGCCTTTTTTTAATAAGTAAGTTTATATAATTCTTTATAACCTATTTGCTTTACTTTTTTAAAAATACTTATTTTAAATTTAATCAAATTGACTTGAACTTTTTTTTTTTATAAGTAATATATCAATACTTTTTTTTAGTTTTGGGTCCTGAAAATTTTATTTTTTTAAAATAATTCCTGTAAATTTTATTTATTTATATTAGTTTTTACTATTTTTTCTAATAAATATATATGATAATTGTTAAAAATTAAATATGTTCTCGATTATATTAACGGCGGTTAATGAATTTTAAATAAATTAAATTTATTATATTAAAAATTTAATTTAATTTTTATTATATTAGAAATGAAATATGTTAATATTTATCATATTAAACTGATATCTATCCCAATAAATATATTACTATATTTAGAATGGAAGAGCAAAAGGCCAAAAAGAAAACAACTATCATTTCGGTTTTCTTTACAAGCATACTAGAAATAGTTAATTATAACGATAAAATATTTTAAATTCAATATATAAAATTCACCAAATTCCCTTTAAGATGGGTCATTATTCATGAGCATGGGAATGATTTTGATGACCTCGCTCATCTAATTAAATATTTTGTCCTATTAGTCTTTTTAGTAAAATAATACCTTCAAGAGTGTTGCTCCTTCCACCACCACACCTTTCTCCTTCCACCTCCCATTTACTATTTTGTCTCTAACTAAAATTTTATTTTTAGGGTTATTATTTTTTAATTTTACCCATTCACAACCTATTCCACTAATAACCTATTCCAGTCCCCCGTACATGAGTTAAATATTTTTCTTTCATTTTAACATTATATTTCTTCCTCTCTTTCTTTCGTCGCTGTGAGATACTACAAGTTGCAAAGGTTGGTGGTGGTGGTGGAAAGAATTATCAAGCAATTTCCCTCTCATGGTGCAGTGTTGCTCTCGTGGTGCAGTGCGTGTGTTGCTTCCTCCATGTGCGTATTCGAATAAACCTTCAAATAAAACCCTAAAATAAAAAACGTAACCTTTAAACGGAGGTGACATCCTTCAACGGATGTCAAAATTCTTCAACGGATGTCAAAATCCTTCAACGGATGTCAACATCTGTTTAAGGTAAAACGGATGTCAACATCCGTTTAAGGTAAAACGGATGTCGACATTCGTTTTTCCTTAAACGGATGTTGACATCCGTTGAAGGATATCACCTCGGTTTAAAGGTTACGTTTTTTATTTTAGGGTTTGTTTATTAGTTTATTCTTTATTTTGGAAATATTTTAATAATTTAATTTAAATGTTTTGATTTATTATTTTTGAATATATTTTAATAATGTAAGGAAAATGAAGAAGAAAGAAATGGAGGAGGAGAAGTGAAACGGAGAAGACAAATGGGGTTGCAGAGTAAAACGGAAGACAAATTGTTAAACGGAAATGAGAGATTGAAAGATTGGGTGCAGGGAGTAAAGTAGGAGAACTAGGTTTGAAATAAATTAAAATAGTAAAAGTAAAAAATTTTAATTTGAGGATATAATTGGAATTAAAAAAAATTGGGGAGGTGGAGGGAGAAAGGTGTGGTGGTGGAGGGAGCAACACCCTACCTTCAATCGTGATTTTCTAAAATAGAATCTCAAATCTAAATGATATGAGATGTGTTAACAATTTCAATATCTAATGTTAGTTTTTAAATAGGTTTAATCATTAGGTTAGATCCTATTTGTGAGAGAGGGTTATCTTAATTAAGAGGGTTATCTTAATTAAGAGGGTTATCTTAATTAAGAGGGTTATCTCAATTAGGTTCCTTAGTTAATTATTTTTTATCAATTGAGTTCTTAAATGTATTATATTAGGTTCCTTAGTTAATTAAACTCTACTATTATATTAGTAGAATGGCGTTAAATGTTTGCTAACATGGCATGCTGAAGTTGTTTAAGTTAATACGTGGCAGACTTATGACACTTAACGTAGATTTTTATATTTTAAACATTAAAAAATTAATAATGTTGTGTTTAAAATTAAATTGGGAATCTTTTTCCGCTAAATTATAGTTCCATCTTCAAATTGAGGATTAAGAGAGCTCGCGAAAATGGAGATTCATTCAGCGAGCTTCTTCCTCTTTGAAATTGCAGTTTATATTGAAGTATGTCTACAAGCCATTCATGTTCGTCTTTCACATGTAATGGGCGTCGAAAGGAAAACTATGATCTCTATTATCGTGTTGATGGAGGATGAAGGAGTTTTGATGTATCATTCATTTGCCATTGTGGAGAGAAATCAATGTTGAAAACTGCAAAAAAAAACCTAAGAATCGAGGGAAACAATTTTGGGATGCCCTAAGTACAAGATAAAATTCATGGAACCTATATTATTTGTTTTATTGTTCCTGAAAATGGATTACTCAGTCATTGTGGTTGATATTTGTTAAAACATAATGAAAGTCAAGATGTTGGTTAAAACTACTTTAGATGGTATAGTGGTGATGGGTTTTATGAAAGTGGTACCTATGTGAAGTGCGAAGGAAAGGATGACTGGTTGGTGAAAATTGAAGAAAATGAAGTTGATAGGAAGATCATACTTAATTTGGAGAAAGTTGTGTTGGTTCTTCAAAAATGGATGAAAGTGTTGATAGGGGTGAGTTATGTTTTATGTGTAATGAACATAATTGTAGTTTCAATGTTCATGATAAGTCCATGACATGTTGTAGCTAATTTATTGTGTTTACTTAGTTAAGTTAATTCGTATGTTGTTAGGATATATAGTTGGCATTGTATAGGACGGAGAATTGAAATAGTTGTGTTGTTGTGTATTGTTAGTGTGGTGTTGAATGTAATGTTGTTCAATGAATTGAAGATTTGCAAATGTTTATATATATTTGTTCACAACATAGGTTTGAGATACCCAACACAATTTTTCAGACAAGCATTACAAAACTATTAACAAAAGATATGATGGGGTAGGTTAGTGTGCTTCCTTTGACTACATAACAGGTTCTTGCATTTATTTGTGGCAACCTGTTCTGTTGTGACCCATATATGATTCGTGAAAATATGGGTCTTAGAAATAAATTAGTCTTATTACTTTGGTGTTTTTGTTTAGTAATTAATGTTTTTGTGTGTACATATTTATTAAAACATAATTATTATGTTAATTTCTTTAATTATATTTATATTTCTGTCTAAGGGTGAAAGGGTCTTATACATTTTATTAATTAGGTACAAGAAATTAAAATAGAGGATGTAGAAAGGAAAAACATGCAAATTAAATAATGTGAGAATTTAATAAAAAGATATTATATAAATCTTTTTGAAGGTTTAGTTGTTATTTTAAAAAGTAGTTGAAAGAAAACAGAAGATATAATCTTGAGATTAAATGAGATCTTATTATTAGAAAATGATATTATTAGATATTGTTATATATTCTAAAAGATATTCTTGGATATTGTTATATAGTTAATTAAAAGATATATTGGGGCATTACTATATATAATTAGATATTATGGCTAGAGAATAATAATATATATTATTGATAACATGGTCATAATTAATTGAAATAAAAATATTAACATAGAATATATTACCCATGGACTTATCACAATTAATTAAGTTAAAGATAAATTTATTTTATCCTATCTATATCTTTTATCTTAGTTGGTTATTATTACTCCTTATGAGTCTTTATTATATATACAATACCCTATGTGTATACTTAAGGAAAATTGATCCCACACATATTAGACACCTCCTATCTATATACAAACTCTGGCCATTAGGAAAATAAAAAGAGAGAGAAAGAGAGAGAGAAACGTTCTTGAAGAGAAAAAGAATTAGTTGTAGAAAACGTTAGTGCAAAGGGAGATTTGTTGTGATTCTTTGAGTGTTGATAAAGCCTTAATTAGTATTGATTTGTTACATTCTTGTTTTGTTACATTCTTGATTTGTTACGTTTTTGATTTATTTGATTCTTGATTTCTTAGATTCATGATTATTTACATTCTTGATTTTCTAGAGGGGTATGGGGAAGCTTACCATTGTTTGTTGTATGCTATATATTCTTGATTTACTTGCACGAAAATACTTGTTTGATATATGTTTATATGATTATGATTATGATTATCTGTTGCTATTGTTGGGCAAAGGTTGTGTGTGCATGGGAATAGGTTTTTAACAATATTTGCGATGAGTTTTCCCTATGAATGTATTATGTATGTTTTGTTGGATTATTGAAATATAGGTTTTAAGGGTGTGATGATAACTATAGAATGGGTTTAGGGGTTGTGTTAGGGTTAGGGTTGACTTGTGGTTGAGATTGAAACATGAGTGAGTGTTTGGGGGGGGTACTTGAGTATGTGTAGTTGATGATCATAAGAGTGGAAGATAGGTCTACTTGTTGTACCTAGTAAATCCTGGTTTTTATCTACGTATAGGCATCGGTTGTTCAAGTATTGAACCTTCCTTATGTGGGGCTGAAGGTGGTTTCCTCTTCCTTGTGTGGCATGAAGGCATGTTCCTTAGCTGGACTACATGACTACTTGAACTTATCTATAGGAGAGGCTACAAATTGGGTTGTAGGAGTGGCTACAATCAGTGAGGTAGGATACATGAGTGAGACTAATTCTTTCCACTATGATATTTATGGTAATGTGGATGCTCATGGTGGTGATCATGACGGGGTTAATTATGTTGGAGGTACAAATGTTGATGATCATAGTGATGATGAAGCTTTATGGGAATGCTATGTTGATAGTCATGGTATTAAGTGATGTAGTTAGCATAGGTGTTGATGCACAATTAGACTGCAGTCTAGGTGCGTGATGTTCGAGGATTGAGGATTAAGGATCGAGCCATTTAAAATGATTGATTTTTTATGTTTAGAGGATTAGGAATCCTATTGTTATTATTTCTATGTATGAGGTGTTTGATTATTTGTTGATATAATCAGTAGGTATGTATCTCGTTGTGTGCTTGATTATGGTTTATATAATTAGTATGTATGTTTATATGACTTGTTTTTGTTAGCTTACCCTTGCATGTTGTGGTTGTGGTTTCCACCTGCGATGATTGTTTTTATACGGGAGTAGATGATCATGCAATTAGTCGGATGTTGTATAGCGTGACGAATGGATTGAGAGAGTTAGGAAATTTATGGTTATTTGAATAAATTATTTTATATGGAGTTTTATTTTATAACTAAATTGGAATTTTAGTTTATTTTTCTTGAATTGTAAAGATTTATTGAATTTGGATTTCCGTAATGGTATTATGATTTTAAAAATTTTAAATTTTCACTCGTAATCGTGGCATCCCAAAATTGGGGTGTTACGTTTTGGTATCAAAGTTAGGTTTTTGAAAAATATTTTGGATTTTTGGGGAGTGAGCTCATCTTGGTTTTGTTGTGTAATTGTAATGCATTAGTATGTATATGACTGTGTGAATTGCATGTGTATGTTTATGAATGTGCGTATTGTTGTTGCTTCTTTTTTGAAGGAGATCAATGTCTCTAATTGTACAATGTATGGTAATCTATGTGTAAATTGTTCTAGAATAGTTTTATTTTTATTATGGATCATTGTAGCTTGTTGTTTGCATAATGAGAATATATGTAAAGTCTTTCTTGTTATCTATAGTTGTGAATAAATTATGGTTTTTGTTTTGATACATTTAGTAGTTTGTTATAATGTTCTTTTGATATGTTAATAAAATTTTGTTTTTATTGTATTATGAAAATTTATGTAATTTTTAGGGGAGTATATGAAGTTATGCATGTGATATGTTTTACTTATGAGTGCAATTTTCGGGGATGAAAATTCTTTCGAGGAGGGGTGAATGTAAGATCCGGGAAAATATGAGTATTAGAAATAAGTTAGTCTTATTACTTTGGTGTTTTTGTTTGATAATTAATGTTTTTGTGTGTACATATTTATTAAGACATAATTATTATGTTATTTTCTTTAATTATATTTATATTTCTGTCTAGGGGTAAAAGGGTCCTTTACATTTTATTAATTAGGTGCAAGAAATTAAAATTGGGGATGTAGAAAGGAAAAACATGAAAATTAAATAATGTGAGAATTAAAAAAAAAGATATTATACAAGTCTTTTTGAAGATTTAGTTGTTATTTTAAAAAGTAGTTGAAAGAAAATATGAGATATAATCTTGAGATTAACATAGATCTTATTATTAGAAAAGGATATTATTATATATTGTTAGATATTCTAAAAGATATTCTTGGATATTGTTATATAGTTAATTAAAAGATATATTGAGTTATTATTATATATAATTAGATATTATGGTTAGAGAATAATAATATAAATTATTGATAGACTTATCATAATTAATTAGAATAAAAATATTAACATAGAATATATTATCTATGGACTTATCACAATTAATTAAGTTAAAGAGAAATTAATTTTATCCTATCTATATCTTTTATCTTAGTTGGTTATTATCACTTCTCATGGGTCTTTATTATAAATATAATATCCTATGTGTATATTTTACGTAAGGAAAATCGACTAACCTTGAAGGTAGCTTTTTTTAAGGCTTGAAAGAAGGATAAAAGAAGCATTTCCTTAGACTTTGAAGGAGGAAGGCTACACAATTTTTTTTTGGAGTGAATCAAGAGAGGACAATACAATACCAAGACCATACAATACCAACATCTTCATATCTTCATCTCTATTTTCTTCTACTACTCTCATTAATCACATGGAGTCCATCTCTTTGAAGAAGCTTCATCAATTTAGCTTGGTGATCATCTTATGTCGAAGGAGCCTTCTCAACACAATCTTCAACAAAATCCATCATAGAAGAACATGAAATCCCTACACCTTGCCATCTTTTTACAAACAGACACCACAAGCCTAAAGTGCCACTTGAATCCATTCTAAACTAGAAGCCCTAACTTGTGGGTGGAAGAAGGAACTACCTGTGACATTCCCTCATTGGGCAGTCCTAATTGAGTCAAAAAGGTTATTCTAGTCAAACACAAGGGGTCAAAGTGAAAATATTAAATATTTTAGGTTTCTCTACAATTTTGGACAAAATAAGAATGACTAAATTAGGATTTTGGAGAAAATTTAGTTGTTGATAATTTATTTACAAAGTTAGTAATTTAATTACATATGAAAATAACAACATAAATATCTGCCAAATATTTTTAAAACTAATGAAATATATTAAATATTTAGGAGATATTACATTATTAGATAAAAGATTTCATTAACATAAAAGTTAGAATCCAAGCCCAACCAACTTTTATATAAAGAAACAAAGGGAAAGTAGAAGAGGGAATTGACAACTCTAGTTTGGAGCAACACTTATCCACGACTTCTCTCTTTCTCTTACTTTCATTGTTTTTTTCATCATTTATTCCACTACATCCATGGAGGGCTAAGCTTCTAGGACTATTCTATTGTAATTTTGTTATGGATTCTGAGGTTAGGTTGAAATAACGTTTTTGTTCTTTTGATTATTGATTTGAATTATCTTTCTTCTGTGTCTTTTATCTCCCAATCACGTCAAAAGTAATGGTTTCTATATTTTAGCTAAGCGAGGTGTTTTAATCTACATGCATATTGATCATATGAGTCTAAAGGTTTTTAATTTTGATTAAGAATGTACTTTGATTGGATTTAGGAACTTTCATATGATTAATGATTTTTATATTGTAGCTAATTAGCAAGGTATTTTAATCTACATGCATATCAATCATATGAGTCTAAAGGTTTTTAATTTTGATTGAGAATGTACTTTAATTGTATAAGATTTGGGAAAATAGGAGATATAATCTTGGTGGGTTTAAAGATTAAAAGAGATATTATTATTAGAGAAAATCAATATTATATATTCTTAGATATTTTAAAAGATTACATGGATTTTAAAAAGATTTGGTGGTTGATGATATTTTAAAAAGTAGTTAAAAGAGAATAAAAGAGGAAATCTTAGTGGTTTTAGAGATAAATTGAGAGATTTTATTAAAACTAAAAAGATAGAGATAGAATAGAAGAAGATAAAAAAGAGAAGAGTAAAAAGGGGTCTGCATTTTGTTACCCTAGAATCAAAAAACGAAAATTAGAAAGATAAGGGAGAGATAAGGGAGAGAAAAGGGGAAGAGTTGTAGAAAACCTTAGTGCAAGAAAGGATTTGTGGTGTTTTTGAAGTTAGATAAAACTCTAGTATTGGCCAAGGTATTGGGAACCTTACCTTTGTTTGTTTGTTGTTGTATGCCATGAATTATTGATTATCTTGATTGGTTAATTCTAGTTTTGATGCATGTGTGCATACTTATGATTATGATTATCTATGGTTGTTGTTGGATAAGAGTTTGTGTATGTATAGGCATAGGATTTATGTAATATTTGTGATGAGTTTTTCCTATGAATGTATTATGTATGTTTTGTTGGGTTATCCCAACAGAGGGTTTGATGTTAAGAGAGAACAAAGTTACGATGCCTTGGGGTTTCCATGCAAATATATGTTATAAGTGTTGGGTTAATGAGTTCCTTTCCTATGTGGAGAATAGACCAAATAATGTGGACCATTAGGTTTCAATTTGTTTTAGTGGATATGGGTTAGATTAGTAGGGCACATTAAAGTCATTTGAAGAGAGGGAAAAGCCAAGAGAGAGAAAGGAAGAGAAGAAGTCATTCCTGCATAGCATAGAACCTACACTCTGGTGTTTTTGTCGTTGTGAAGTCGTTCAACATTGGGTCGAGCGAATTTTTGGACACTGAGTTCCAGACATATGGTCCTTCATTATGACTGTTTGGATCGTCAATCAGACGTTTAGTTTGGGAGAAAATAGCCTCACATCAAAAACTCTGTTTTGGAGAATTTTCATCTTCTTGGTTTTCATTTGTAAGCATTATGCTTAGTTAGTTTAACTGATTGAAAATCCTATTTGGTGAGGTGTTAGTTCTCATTTGAATTTTACCGATTTTGAATAACCCGTGACATCTTAGAAATCGGATGCTACAAATTGGATTTAGGAACTGGTGAATACAAATTTGACATTGTTGCTGGTGAATACAATATCTATTTTTAATATTTTGATTTTGATTTTTCTTTTCTTAGTGCAAATATATTTAATTTGTTTGAGTTTTTTTATCTTTAGTTATTTTTAAATTGTTAGCAAAGTCTTTTGCTTTTATTTTTATTAAAAAAATTTCTTGAAAAATACTTAAAACTAATTGAAGAACACTCTAATTAGAAAAAAAAAATTGATATTTAAATTATTCGTTGTGACATAGCTCTCTTTCGTGAAAGTGAATCTACCAAGATATGAACTCCTCCAATAAAAAAACATCATTTAGTTATTAATAATAAAATATGTTACAAATGATTTATTAATAATTTTATTCATCTTTTAAATATATACGTGCTTCTTATACTTATTTCTTTATGGGGAATAGCTTAAGCAGCGGATGAAAAGAGAGGAAAAAAAAAATATTAAGTCGAAAAAAATTCCAAAAGATAAAAGTCTGAAATTTTGGTAAACGTAACCTTAGGAAGTGGAAGAGAAAAAAAAATGTGGATAACTATTAGCAAACACCTTCTAACGACCCTTGTCACCTCTCCTAGATTCATCCTATGGCGATGAAACATTGAAACCCAATCCTACAAACCTTAAACCAAATCCTTAAATCCACCAAATAAAATGGCCTTAAGATGTTCCTTTACCTTTTCACGCTCTACTTTCTTCCACCAGCACTCTCAGTCCACCCATGCTTCTTCCAGAATCTTCGTCTCAATCTTGCTCCCCAAATCCACTTCACTCACTTGCATTCATGAATTCCACAAAGATATGCACTTTGCACCATCTTTTAGCAAGAGGAATCTCAACTTCGCCCTTCTTCTCACAATGTTTCTGTGGGGTCAGGCTGCGCCGTTGCCAAATATGGGTGATGCACTCTTGTTGGCTCAAGAATTGGAGCTTCAGAGATACACCGATTCCGAGGAAGGTTTCACTCTTCTCACACCCTCTTCTTGGGCTAAGGTAAACTAAACTATTCCCTTCTCAGTTTGAAACTTCAAACTATCACAGTTAAATATAGCAGTAAACCTTTTTAGGTGAACAATATTGCGGTTAGCTGATACTAAGAAGTTGGATGCGTTTATTGCAGTAAAACTCAAATAATATTATCATCATAATAATAATCATATAATAAGCACCCTTAACTTGACATCCCTTTATGGAAATTGTGTCAAGCCAGAAGAGAAAAAGTCACATCAAGAATAATGGTATTTGTTTCTGTCCTAAAGGAATAGTCTTTGGTAATGTGGCTAACAGGTTGATAAAGCAGGGGCAACTGTGTTGTTTGAAGAGAAAACTATGGGAAGTAACAATATTGGGGTTGTTGTAAGCCCAGTTCGTCTTAAGACTCTTGAAGAGTTTGGGACACCTCAGTTCGTTGCTGATAAGCTCTTACAAGCCGAAAAACGTAAGGTAAACTATTCTTTTTTTCCACAGCTTCTTAATGTTGAGCATTTACTTGCAAGGTTGTAAGCTATGGTTTCAGTCTTGTCCTGAAAAATTGCTAACAAGTAGTGTTAATTAGGCAACAGTTGAGGTCTCATAGACTCAATCTTTTTCAAAACTTTCTTCGTTGTTACATTGTTATTGTGTAGAAGAATTCCACTGTAAGAGGAGAGAAAAAGGAGCTGAAGTTCACCTAACATTTTGTTGCCTTTTGTTTCACTTTCTAAAATGATTTAATGTAGAAATTCCGTATGTATAGTACATAAGCAGGAGCTATACTTTAAGTAGACTTTTCTGTTTCTTTTATGACCATGCTACATTCATAGAGCCTTTCAGCATAGAGCATACCGACTTAAACTCACATTTTTTCAAATGTTGACCATTGCATATTTCAAAGTCCGTGTTCTCATAGTAAAACATGTCTTAGTGTTATTAGAATTGGTGGGTAGAGATAAAATGATTGTATGATGCATTAACTTTTGTTGTAATTGCCTTTGCATTCAGGAAAGTACAAAGGAAGCTGAATTGATTACAGTAGCAGAAAGATCAGGAGAGGGAGGATTGCAAATTTATGAATTTGAATACAAGGTAGATAGTACTCGTGGAGGGATGAAGAGGATATTTTCTGCAGCATTTGTGCTCTCAAAGAGGCTCTATCTTTCTAAATATGTTCTCACTCTGTAAACCAGAGAGTTCCATTTTCTTGATCCGCATCATAGACGAAAGATTTAGAGCAAGTTCTTCATTCCTTTGTATGCGCTGCTTTAAATTGTGGCGGATCAAAAATTTCGTTCTTCTGATTTTTTTTTTCACATTCTTTCGCTTGAGTTTGATTTGATTCCCAGTTATGGCTAATGAGTTATGTTCAATCTTTTACACACTACTATCAACTGATATTGAGTGAAAGGGCATAAACAGAAGAAGGTTTATGTATTTACATTATATCATGCGATCCATGTTTTATTTAGGTGCCGATTCCAAAATGATTTCTAAGTGGGATGCTCGTACCTGATTTAATATTAAGGTAAAGTTTTGTATTTCTATTCCATTACTGTAATTATTATATTTTTAATTATTTTTGTACTGAGTAGGACTAAAGGTCCTTTGACCCTTCCAGATAAGGTTTATAGCCTTAGACATGATGACATTGGGTACTGGGGACTAATCTCCCAATTCGGATATCTGGTATCGGTGTCTTGAAATTAAGAGCATGAATGTACTGATTAATGTTAAGACAAGATCGTCTATAAGACTAAATTGTCTAAACATTCTCATATGTTTTAAAGTTTAACAAACAATAATAAATAAAACGAGCATATAATAGAGTGTTATTTTTAGAAAAGCAATATAGTTAAAAGATAAGTGGTTTATGAAAAAGCTTTGTGAAATCTAAATACTTTGAGAAAAATTTTAGTAAACATACAAATATATGAATAGAAGTACTGTTAAATGATTTTCCTATTAAATGCATCAATAAGAGTCTTGCTGAATGCACTCGTATTATACATTGCTAAGCAATGCTCAAACAAGCTCTCAATATGTCTTGTGATGGATAAAATGTCAAAGATGGTTTTGGAAAGTATGTTAAAAGTCTTAAACGATGATCCAAAAATTTGTGTTGAAATACATCTTTCTAAACACGCTTTTGAATAGAACAAAGATAACTTAAAAAAGTGTTTTGAGTAAAAGTGTTACATAGCTAGAAAGATTTCGCATTGTGGCAAACAATTTTTTTCATCCAACGATGAAATCTTCATCAACTACTTGGTATGTTAGTTAAAAGCTTAAATGATCAAATCCTGCTTAAATGGTAGAAAATGTGAAAAACACTTTGTTGTTCTAAATATGCATGAAATGCACAATGTTTAAAATCAACAAAAGTGATAAGAAAAAGGACATATATGCCTGCTTGCATATCTACCATACTCTGTCTAGATTACTTCTTAATATCCCGCTACTCATCCTATCAAATCAGAAGTGGCGTGAGAGACAAGAAGACTTCATCATAATGTTCTTTTTTCAAAAGTCGCGTCTGAAAGTTCGACAGCACGCTACTTTTATAAAGAGTGATAATATGTTTGCCTAACAAGTTGACTTTAACCAACGATGTTACTTCGACAAGGCTAAGAAATTCAAGCATCAAAGAAAGTATAATCTAACAACTCAACATTTTTTCTTGAAGCCTATATATTAAAGGGTTTCGAAGACAAAAGAACAAGAGAATCATATGTCACACAAACATGAAAGAAATATCTGTGAAGAAAAAAAGCATAGAAGAAAATGAAATACCTCTAAGCTTCATAGAATCATAAACTTACTATTCTAGAAGAGACAAAACTCTGGCAGTCTATTAGGAAAAAAGGAAATATTCTCAAGCTCATAAGATCATAAACTTACACATCCTCTCTCTGTGAAGTAATCGTCTAAGGCACTTGTAATAAATCTATTTGATTGTAAATTCTGAAGAGAATTCAAACACTTAACCGCTTAGCTCGGTGGGGTTAAACGTAAGCTAGACATTTTTGTTTAGTGGATACAAGGAGTGGGTGAAACTCAACTAGACATGTTATCGGAAAATTCGGGAGTGTCTAGGGATTACTAGGAGTAGTGAAGAATACTGCACAACCAGGAGTGAGTCAAACTCGGTTCTACTCAGAGTAACGAGGGTTAGTTTGAGTGACTAGGTGATACCGGTGAGTGTTTAAAAATGTCTAGAAAGGGAGACCCGGGAGGGTGTTGAATATATGGTTAATGGAAAACTTTTTCCGCAAACAGTGTAATAAAACTAGTCGAGGATTGAAAATCAAATTGTTAGTGTTAAGACAAAATCGTCCATAAGACTAAAATGTCTAAACTCTCTCACTTGTTTTGAAGTTTAACAAAACAACATTAAACGAGATTAACATATGAATAGGTTATCACTAGAATATCATAATAGCTGAAACATAGGTGACAAGTTAAAAGTCTACTAACCGAGGAAAGTCATAGAAAAACACTTAGGGTTAACCTAGACACAAGACTAAATGATTCCGAAATAGTCAAAGCATCTATGAGAGATTCATGTTAAACGCAAAAACTTTACTATACCAAATGATAATCAATCAAAACTCTAAAATAGATAAAAGTGTCGAGACAATGTTTTTGGTAAGCCATTTGAAAGACAAACTCGTTAAACACTCTAGTTGAAGAAAGCAGAATTGTAAAGTGTTTATAATAGACTAAAACGATACCATGAGCTAAACCATTTACTTCTTCAATACTCCTTCATTTCCAACTCATTTTTACTACTCTAAAAATATTTAATCTCTTATTTTCAACTTCTCCTCGAATACTCTCTTAAACTTCCTAATTTCTCAAACTCTCAATCATCCAAACCAATGACGCCATCAGTCACACCCCCAAACCATCATCATCATCTTCGTCGACCACTAAGATGCATAGATTTCCAAAGCTCCTTCGCAAATCTCATATTCCATGGTTGAAACCAAAAACACAGAGTATACAACTTGGTGAAGAAGAGAGATTGTATTGTATTTTCCTTGCATTGTAAATTATCTTTGCTTTCTCTTTTGGTTTGTATATTTCAGCTTTTTAGGAGTTTGTCCTAATGAGAACATTGAACACTTATTCCTTTAAATGTTATTTGTAGTTGATGGGTAAGAGGAAACCAAAGTTCCTTCTAATTCATCATTAGGCCGCATAATGTAGATTCATTGATTTCCTTAATTGTGGTAGTTTAGTGTGTGTCTACTTGTAGTCCAAGTTTGAGTTCATTTGAGAAGTTTGTATGCAAAGGAACTTGAGGTAAATTTTGACTAGATAAAAGACTTGGTTTTTAAGCAATCAATTATGATTCACCTTTCTTTCCCCTGGAAGTGAACTTAAGTCTCTTTTACTTCCTTATTTTGAAAGAAAAGGAAAAGATGGAAAAAGAGGAATATAATGCTAAATTGGAGGAGGAACTTAGAGTTCTCAATACTAAACGAGAGAAAACACAAAAAGGAAATAAGAAAGAGTAAGAGTAGAAGTAGAAGTCACACTAGGAGGAGTTCAAGGACTCCAACTCAAAAACAACACAATGTCCCTCAGGCTCACCATGAGGTTCGATAGTAGGATTCTAACCAATACTATCAACCTCCACCAAATAGAATGATAGAGAGCATGAAAGAGAAGAACCCTCCTAGAGACAGTTAGGGTGGTCTCCCCATTTCCATGGACATGAAGAGTAAGAGGCCTATTTAGATTGGGAGATGAAGGTAGAACACCCTCTTTGAGAATGTCATCACAAATTAGTGAGGAAAGAAAAGTCTCCCTAGCCATCCTATGTTTTACATTGATGGACTTCCCTAGTTAGAGAAAGAAGACTCTCTAATTTCCCTTCAATTCAATATTGGAATGAGCTCAAGAGTACCATGAGAAGGAGACACATTCCCTCTTACCATAACCGTGAGCTATTGGATAAACTTCAAAGGCTCCAACAAGGAGATCTAAGTGTAGAACAATATAAGAAAAAAATGGAGCTTTATACCATGAGGATAGGAATTTACAGAGGAGAATGGAGATCACCATTTCTAGGTTCCTTATTGGTTTTAATCTTGTAATTAGAGTAAGGTGAAGTTGCTACCTTAACAGATGAATGATTTGGTATAAATAAGTATCAAGGTGGAGGGCAACACTTTTTAGAAAGGGCTTTAAGCTCTCCCACTCTAAACCTAATCCCGAAGAGACCATTAAGGGATGGGAACACCAATAAGGAGAAAGAACTCTCAAGAGTTTTGAAAGAGAAACTAGGAGAAGGATCATCATCCACATGCAAACGTGAGATTAGTGTTCAAAATGCCTTAGGTAGAGGTCACATTATTCTCAATTCATCACCAAAGAAACCATCATCTTAAGGGGTGTTGACCATTATAGTAGTTGAAAAGAAGAAGTGAATGGCACAAGTGAGGAAGAAAGCAAATGAGTAGGAGTCCTTTCTATACATATACAAAAAGATCTTCTCATGATTAGAAGAGTCCCTTAAGAATAACGTTGTCCTCAAGTCCTACAGCAAGAGAAACATCTATCACACAAATGTAAAGTTTCAAACATATATTTCTCCTTATTGTGGATAGTGGCTCATGTTGTAATTGTTATAGTACAAGATTGGTCGAAAAGTTAGGTCTTACTAGCAAACCCCATCCAAAACCTTACAAACTTCAATAACTTAATGATGGAGGGGACTTGAAAAGTAGACCAACAAGTGGAGGACAAGTTCTCCATAGGGAACTATGAAGACAAAGTGGTTTGTGATGTGATTTCTATGAAGTTTGTCATATTCTCTTAGGTGGAGGACAAGTTCTCCATAGGGAACCATCTCACCCTCTTCTTTATAGAGGATCCCTATCATGCATATCAACAACTCTAGAGAGCCCACATCCTATTCTTTTTGAAATTTTTTGAAAGAATTTGAAGATGTCTTCCCCAAAGAATCCCAAGTCTTCCCCCAATTAGGGGGATAAAACAACCAAATAGATTTTGTAACAGGGCAATCTCCAAATAGGCCAACCGTATAGAACTAATCCCCAAGAACAAAGGAGATTCAGACCTAAGTCCAAGAGTTTCTTAACAAATGGTGGGTCCAAAGAGGCTTAATTCTGTGTCCGTGCATGTTGTTAGTCCCTAAAAAGGTTGGAATTTGATGTGTTTGTGGATTGTAGGCCATTAACAACATCATCATTAAGTAATAGGCACCCAACCAAGACTTAGATAACATCTTATAAGGTTGCATGGTCCACCATGTTTTCTAAAATTGATCTTAAAAGTGGTTATTACCAAATAAGGATAAGAGAAGGTGATGAGTGGAAGACTAGCATTTAAGACCAAATATCGATTATATGAGTAGTTGGTGATGCCTTTTGGCTTAACTAATGCACCTAAGCACCTTCATGAGGTTGATGAGCCATGTCTTAAG